CGGCCTGCACTGGGTACTTGCGGCTGGGCTCCAGCATCGGCAGCCGCGTCACCTCTAATGGCGTCAGCGGGGACTCATCTGAGGCAGGCGAGCTGGTGGCTGGCGCGGGTGGGAAGACTAGCATTGGCGGCCGGTGCGGCAGCAGGTTGGGGAAGGGCGCGGGGATGTCGCAGGAGTCCCGCAGGCCTGAGTGCCAGGAGCCCTCCTCTGGCAAGAAGTATTTCATCTCCTCATACACGGACTCCCCCTGCTCGGGGCTGTCAGCCTCGGGGCCTCCAGGCCTGGCAGAGTTCCCTACCATCTCGATGTACACTGGCTCAGTGTCATCGTCGTCGAAATTGTCCCCTGGGGGCAAGGACAGGTGCAGTGGCAGCTGTATAGTGCACTGAGGTGAGGTCCATGGTGCACTCGAGATCCCTGGGGCATGACACGCACCTGCCTGGCCAGGCACACCTGGGGGCCTCGGGCCCCAGATCTCCTCATAGGAGCCACTGAGCTTGGTGTTGGGGCTTCTCTTTGGCTTTCGTGGGGGGATCTTCTTCATGGTGCTGTAGTCATCGCTGTGGGGCCTGGGCCGGGTCAGAGCTGGAGTGGGAAGACAGAGCAGATGGTCAGCAGTGTTGCCCAGGGAGCCGGGAACGAGCTTGGCTGAATTCACCCTTCCCCAGGGTCCCACCAAGCCCAGGCCACCGAGGAGGCTGCTGTGGTGGAGGCCTGAGGGTCCCCATACCCACCTTGAGGACCTGTCACCTGGACGTATCCCGGTATCTGACACAGTGACGCCTCCCACCACCTGGGGAACAGTCCTCGGGTGTGAGGGGCCAAGTGTGGGGTTCAGGGGCCTCAGCCACCAGGTGGAAACAGCGAAGTTCCCCTGTGCCTCAGTAGGGTGTGCAAGGCCCAACACCCCCGGCGTCCACCCCGGAGCACAGCTGGGCTCACAGTGTCACTCTGTGGCCGGAGTGGCTCCTGGGCTCCCAGGAGGCACAGGGCTGGCCCACTCTGAACATCAGCTCCTGACTTTCTGGGACAGGTGCAGGTGGTGGCCTCCCAGGCCACATCCAGTGATCCCAGCCCTCGGCTCCTGGAGCCTGGAGGTCTGTGGCTGCCCAGGAAGGAAGTGTGCAGAGCAAGCTCTCTGTCCCCAGGCCACGTGGCTCCCGCCTCCCTCCACTTCCACCTGAGGGGTCTGGACAGGGCAGGGCTCGGGCCTTGGACCATGGACACTGGGAGCGCTGTCCCCACCACCAGGAAGCCTGCTCCTGCTGGGTCCAGCCAGGCGATACAGGCAGGGCTCAGGCCACTCTGTCCCTGCTGCTGGGGGCACACAGGAGGAAGAGAAGGGGCCGAGACAGTAAGTTATGATTACTTTTATCATCGTTACTATTCCCGAGTGCGGACCACTGGGTGTGGTACACATTGCTTCCCAGTCTGGATTTCCCGGCAAAAACGGATACAGCAGAGTCCTGGACCAAGGCCGAGCTGAGCCCCACGGGTGGCTCTGGGCTTATGGGAGTCAGAGCACAGAGAGTGGGCACAGGGTGGAGGGGGGCGGTGCCCTCAGAGGGCTACGGGTGACAGAGATGCCTCACCACCCAGGTGCGGAGGATGGAAGCTGTGGCCACAGGAGCCCCGCTGTGGACAGGTGGGGTTCAGGCCCAGTGCATCCTCACCTGGCCCAGTGCCCAGCTGCCTCACACCTGCTCCCCACGGTGGCCCAGTCCCGATCCCCTGGGAGCCTGCGCGACCTCTGCCCTGCTGTGTCCCTCAGGTGGGCAGGGTGGACGTCCTCGTCCTTCAGAAGGGGGTTTCCGTGATTAGGGGAGCAGACGAGTGCATTCAGCTGTAGGAAGAGTATGGACACTTCTGCCCATGGGGCTCTGTCCACAGTGCAGGCCTCGGCAGTGTTTCTGATCCCAGGATGGGGTGGGGCCCTTCCCCAAGCCCATGCTGAGGTCCAGGATGTGGCACTGATGTGAGGCACACAGGTGACACTGCGGCCCACCTCCGCTCTGCCTGACTCCAGGACCGGAGCCGCGCTGCCCAGCCCAGGAGGCTGCCACCTCACAATGAGACACCAGGGCCCAGGCTTGGGAGTCCCAGGTGGCAGATGCAAGGGTGCCCAGCTTTCAGGGGACTTCAGCACCCTCTGGGCAGCTCCAAGGACTTCCCAATGACAAGGTGGTGCGCGCCTTTAATCCCAGAGCTCTGCAGGCTGAGGCAGGAGGACTGCAGCAAATTCAAGGCCAGCGGCCACACAGTTTGAGGCCAGATTGAGCTACATAGTGAGACCCTCTCTCAAAAATGAGTAGGTAGGCAGCCAGATGATGATAGACAGAGGTTTTCGGAGAGAACCACCCAGGTAAGCCGGCTACCCCAGAGCTGCAGACAGGAAGCGGAGTGACTGCGACAGGTCAGTCACTCTGAGCTGGAATGGAATTTCTAGTTTTAGCTTTTTGTTTTGAGAACTCTCTGTACTGATTCCTAGAGTGGCTGTACTAGTTTATATTGCAGCCAACAATGCAGAGTGGTTCCTTAAAAATCTTTGCCAGCTGTTCCTCAGAAGACTGGTATCCAGAGTACGTAACAAACTAAAAAACAAATGGAGCCCCCCCCCAATAAAAGACCCAATAGAAAGGTGAGTGGAATGAGTAGAGCTTCACAGAGCAAAGGTCAACATAAACAGGAAGAAACGCACGCTCGCCTTCGCTGGCCATTGGAGGAACTGCAGGCGAAACCATCCGACCTGCTGCTGTGTCTTGTGGGTCTGAAATCCGGGGCTGAGCCCTCACCACTGACCCAGCCGGCCCTGTGGCCCTGGTCACCGTGGCAAGGATGGGGCCCAAGCGGTGGCTAACAGCTGGCCGGTCACAGGCGGCGTAGTGCTCGTGACCGCGGACTGGAAATCCAGGGAGGGCAGCGACAGACTGAGAAACTCACTCGGGCTCCCCGGAGCTCCTACCCTAAGCAGGGTTTGATTTTTCTTATTGGTCAACTTCGATTCAGAACATGCTCCAGGGCAAAGAAATTCATCTTCCCTCAGGAGACCAAGCTTTCCTTCCAGGGTAACAAAGTAGCCAGCCCTAGACTGTGTCAAGAGAGGCCGGCACACATCCAGTTTGAAAAGGAAACGGTGCTCGTGGTCTTTCCTCAGCTTCCCAGAACCCCCCTGGGGCGGGTCCCTGAGTTCTCCAAGCCCCTGAGCTGCAAGTGGGAGCTGAATTCCAAGAAACCGAATTTTCCACAAACCTCTTCCGATTCTAATGGGGTCACGTGATGTTTCATGAATGGTAGTAATGGGTCTAACGTTTTAGCCCTGTGATTTTGCTTTATCTTTTAAATTATCATTTTGCCTTTTTCTGTTTTGTTTCTGAGGCAGTGTCTCACTCTGTAGCTCAGGCTGGTGACCCTCCTGCCTCAGCCTCTGGACGGCAGGTGTCCACCACCATGCCAGACATCTGCCTTCCTACAGAGTCTTATCTCCTAAGACTTCACAGTGGAGCCCAAGTTCTATTTTATCTTGGTTCAGCCTTCTCCCTAGTGGCTTACCTTCTTTCACAGCACTGACTGTGTGCACACGATCACCCCCATGTGTGTCTCTAGAGCTCCTTCTCAGTGTCCTGAGGCAGAAGGCACTCCATGTGGAAGACACTGTGGTTTCAGATCTTACTTCGCCTTCCCCCTCTTTTGACGCTATCTTCAGTCTATTTCCCACTCTCCCAGGCAACCAGCATTGGTATTTTAGATCGGGTCCTTCCTGCACCAAAACCCAGCTCAGTGTGCCAGGGCAGTGACAGTGGCAATGGACTCCCCTGTTCTGGGGTGGAGACACGCATGGCCGGTGTGGCAAGACGCTTCTTCAGCAGGTGTGGATGGCCCAGGGGACACCATGGGAAGGCCACTGGCCACGGTCCCGGAGGTCCTCTCCCTGCCTCCTTGCTGTGCTGCTCACAGGGACACCACAGCCACACACACCCCCGCCCCATCCTCCTCACACAAAGATGGTGCGAGCTTTTCTGGCACCTTTGCCTGAGGTGCGTTCAAACCTGGCCTTTTCATCCTTTGGGTGTGATTTCCTGCAAAGATCCGTTCCCCCAGCGTGAGAGCCATGAGCGCCGAGCTCTGATGATGCCTGAGGGGCAGCGCAGGGTCCCCTGGGGCTTGGACATCAGCCCGCCAGGGTACTGCGTGGTGCTGAGTGCGGCCCCTCGTGCTCAGAAGGGCCCGAGCTGCTTCCTGTGTGCAGACGCCGCTTCCTAGTGAGGTCACGCTGGGTGTGCCTCAGCCCCACCTGCACCACACTGGCCCGCTCCTCCCTGCACAGCAGCGGCCTTCCTCAGATCTGTGTGGACTTAGCTGTTTATTGTGTCTCACCGTCCTTCCTCAGGACAGCATCACCTCCGAGCGGGGCCACACGCGTGCACGCACACCCACACACCCATGCCCCAAAGCAGGGCCTGACACACACGAGATAATAAATTATTAAAATTTGCCATTGTCCGATAAAAGCACTTCCTTTGTTTTTCACAATTCTAAAAATAGTGAACATCATGGTCTCAAGCTGCAGCCATTCTCCTACAGATGCCTCACATTTGCCCTTCTTTAGAGCACAGTAGTCCTCCACTGTGTGTGACTAGCACGTTCCCGACCCATCCTTCTGCCCAGGGGCGCACAGGCTGCTTGGAAGAGGTAGCTGCCAGGAGCTGTGCTGCTGTAGGCGAGGGTGTGCAGGGGCCCCTGCAAAGTGGTGTCTGTCATTCCACTGCAATTTTCAGTTTTAGTGTTTTGAGGTATCTCCATACTGATTTTGTTAGCGCTTGCACACATCAGAAACACAAGATTAAATATCCCATGTTTTCTTATTACCAGAAAGCCAGGGTATAACTAAATTAAAGAGCAAAATAAAAGACAGACCACAGCAAATGGAGACAGACTTTTGGAAAAGGGGGAAGGGGATCATACTGAGACGTGCGTGCACCGACTGCCCACGGTGACCGTGACACTCACGGACTAAACCCGTGCTAAGGAAAATTCCAGTTAACGAGTCGCCACTGAACTGAGCATCTGTGGTAGCACAGAGGGATCTCAAGGGGCACCCCCTGCGCGCGCCTGCGCACAGATCTGTAGGCCCAGCCCACGCAGTATTGTCATCCAGTCCCCACGTTTTGCCAATTAAACTGGGGGGCAGCGATTCTCCTGCGTGTGAAGCCCTTCCCTTACCCCGTGAAGCAGCAGGCCTCCTTCCAATAAGACTGTGATCATAGCAAAACGATACATTTTTTAAAACTTGTAATTAGTATTTGCATGGCCCGGTGACTTTGCACTTGGCATCTGCTTCAAGGCTGCTGACTCACGGTGGGGAGGGCCGAGTGGGGAGGACCCTAAGGGGCTGGGGTTTCTGAACGGATGATGTTGATATTCGGGGATCAAAGGGCCGCGGCCAAGGCGGCAGTGGGATTTGTCTCTGCCAAGTGTATCCCAGGCCCCCAACCCAAAGCCGCGCCTCGGCAGCCCCAGCCCCGCAGTCCCAGCCCTGAGCTCACCATCGCCGGCCACGTCCTTGGCCGCGCACAGGCAGGCGCTCACGGCCTCGTAGGAGGCGCTCAGCCGCGTGCTGGGGTCCCTCTTGGGCTTGGGCGGAGGCTGTTTCCGAGGCGACGGGAGGCCGCCACTGTCGTCCACGCCGAGGGCAGCGTGCAGGGAGGGAGGGCGGATGGACGGTCCCACGAAGGCATGGGCCACACTGTCCGCTGCCACGGGGTCGGGTACCGGGACGGAGCTGGTGGGTGCGAGCCAGGGCCCGGCCTGGTCCTCGGCTCTTAGGGGGAACAACACAGACAGCACAGGACAGAGGCCAAAATGGTTATTCGGGGACAGCAGCGGGCATCTGTGGGGAAGCCTGGCGTCCACCAGGTCACTGCTCGGCCGAGATCCCGACAAGGCCTCCCCTCCCCTGCAGGCGCCCACGGAGTGAGGGCTGGCACTCTGGCTCCTAAGCGAATCCAAAAGTCAGAGTTGCAATCTGAAGGAGAGCCCTGGGGAACCCACCCTCAGGGAGTCTCCCGGCACCCAGGCCTCGGCTTCGTACACTTCCCTCTGCAAAGAGAGCACAGGCGGCCAGGACTACCAACGCCTCACACTTCACATTTTCTCGCTGTCCCTCCTCACCATTTAAATTCCACCAGCAATTATTTATGCCCAAAACTATTATTTTTCCCGTGACTCCATCTGGCTGCCTGGTGCCAACTGAGCTGCTGGTATTCAACAAATAAACAGACAAGTGCTTCTTCACTTAATTTTCCATCGGGCAGATAAATACATAATGAAATTGAGAAATTGGGGTGACTGTTTTGTTCCAGCAGAGAAAATAATAAATATTACTCTGGAAGCTGCTGAAAATGAGTAGTTATCTGCCGTACAAAGTTCCTCCGAGCCTCACATGTCAAAGTAATCACACACTAGCAGGCCGCCCGAACGCCAGCGCGGAGTCTTGGAGCCTCGTTTTTATAATTACATCTTGCCCAGGCAGGGCCCCAGCAGGGCCTCGTCCGCCACAGGCAGAGCCGGCCGCCCGTGTAGAAAATGAAGCTGCTGCAGACGCACGTGGCACTCAGCAGAGAATCTGTTTTCCCTGTAATGTTTAATTACAGTTTTCCCTACGAAGGGAATTTTTTTTCCAGCGTTTAATCACTGAGACATTTGAAGCTAATTAGCAAGAGACACATTCCTGATTTCCACTTTAACAACAACAAAAAAAATCATTTGACACAGGCACTTGTGGCAAAAGAGTGATTTTCAGAGAGAAGCAAGGTACTGCCTTAGTCACTGGGGAAAAGGGCAACACGCGACCCTGACCAAGCAGTGGCAGGCAGAGGGGTCAGGTTTCTGCCCAGGTCCCTGGGTGCGGCCCCTCCCGGAGGAAATGATGGTAGCAGGAATGGCCCCGGGTGTCCCAGATTTCTATTTCAGGCTCAGCATCCAAAGTGAACTTTACTTAAAACGCTCTTTATTTTTTACAGCTTTCCATACTGGCAAGGAAAATGCAACCATTTACAATAAAATACGTGCAATCCTGTGCGTGTTTTGGGGGGAGCTCTGGACATTAAACCCAGGGCTTTTGCACTGAGCAACATCTTCAGCCCATTTTTTAATGGTTTATTTTGAGACACAATCTCATTGAGGTGTCTAGGCTGGGCATTAACTTGCGGTCCTCCTGCCTCAGCTCCTAGAGTGCTGGGATTACAGGCACCGGCCACCATGCTGGGCCACAATCCGTTTACTGACTTTGCTACCTTTATGGTTCACAGTGGTACCTCAACTCTTTGTTCTGATTTCCAGAAGTCACTATCAGTTAGCTCTCTATGCAGCACACTTGCCTAACAGCGTCCAAGGTCCAGCGCTCTGTCTTTGCTACCACAGAAACTGAGGGGCTGTAAAAGCTGATCGAGCTGGAACTACTTAGGGGCAAAGGCACAACATCAGGGGAAGCAGCAATCATCCACACAACTCAACTGGCACAGGGAGCATTTAATGCATGAGAAGGGAGCAGGGGAAGCACTTCCTAGACTGCTGGTGCCTTTCATGTCACACCACGCTCGCCCATTGCGTAACCGCTGTCCCGTGTGACCGAACTTTGCAGCAGCGCCCTCCTGATCCCTACATGGCCTTGACCTGAGTGACTCACACAGGTAATCAAGGCCGCAGCTGCTCCTCCTACCTTTTGGCTCCTTCCTCGGGGCGGCCCTTGGCCTCTCCCCTGTCCCTGTGCGAAGTGCTCACTTCCATCCGGAGCCGGTTGTTCTCCCGGGCAATGTCGGATGCGTTCTGGGTGACCAGGGCATCGTAGGTCTGTAGCGCAAGGTCCTCGGTGTTCTGCAGGAAGCTCCTGATGCGAGACATCTCCTGCTGCGTGGCACTCATTTTCTGGAGCAAGTGCTGGCGCGCTAGAAACCCTCTTATGACTTCACAAAAGAACACAACGCTGCGTCAGGGAACGGAGGAAAAGGGGGCAAAGCCACACACAAACAGAACTTGCGGAATTTAGCCCTCAGTCAGAGCTTACCAAAACCTTGTGCTCTCATGCTAAGAAAAATCTCTGATTCAGCAATGACATGACAGACCACACTCTGTGGCCTGGGCAGCCCCTGCAGTGGTTTGGTCTCAGGGCCACCCTTACTTTTGTAACAAGCTGGACACAGATGGCCTGGTGTTAATCTGATGGGACGGGAAAACCAAGAATTTGGGGTGTGGCTCCCATTTGGGAAAGCAATAATGGTCTTTCTCTGTCTCAGAGTATTTCAGACACAGCTAAGATTTGTAGAGTTGGACTTCAGAGTATCACGCATATCCTACTGCTAGGACTCTGCTGTAATTCCTTCAGAAACAGACACTGCACTGAAGACTCGAGAGAGACCGTAGAGATACAGGATATGTTGCCTGCTATTCAGGGAAGGAAACCTAGGAAAATGTGCAAAACTCAGGGAAATGTGGGTGCAAATGCTTGGAACTCACTAATACATGAGTAGCAAGTGTGAGGATTGACAATAAAAATAAGAGAATAACTGTCAAAGGTGCTTGAACGCTGTGCAATGTGGAGGCCAAATGATGACAGTCACCTTTACGTTGGGCTCGGTGACAGCAGAACTACTTCGGTGTCACTGGTTCTCCTAGGTGACGTCAGCCACGGAGCGGCAGAGTGGGCTCAGGTCTGTCTGTCTCTCTGGCCTCCCTAACATGTGATCTGCAGCTTGCGGGAACAGACCCTAGCCAGGACCCAGAGCCACATTCATGATCCACAGGAAGGACTTGGAGCCATTAGCCTGGGTGCACACAGATCTGGCATCCTTCTGCGATGGAGCTGCTCATCCCTGAGCGTGGGTGAGGGGAGCGTGGGGCCTTCCCAGGGCCGCTGCCAGGCAGGGGCAGCTGTGGAGGTCTGATGTGTCTCCCAAGTCTGGGTGCCAGCACATCCACCAGAGTCTCTGGGATTACAGGGAGTTGCGGATTAAAGAAAAACTCTCATTTCAGGGGAGATCCACGAGTGTGGCAAGGACATGCTGTTCTTGTCTTTGTGGGAAGGAGACATTTATAAAACATTAAGTGCTCGACGTACATACCATGAACAGATAGAGGGCTCTCACAGACCCCTTTGGTGCCTTCTGGAGAGCTGATCACGAGTTCCCAATGAGAGCTTCAGAGGAAAACGCTACTACGTAGGTGGTCCAATAGCGTGGGCATCATTTCTTGGTTTGGGGCTATTTTTTTAGGTGCTGAAACTTGGGGTGCAGGTGCATAGTTAACTGTCAGGCGATCACGTGACCCAATCCAACAGCAGCAGCACTAAACAGCAGCAGGGAAGCCAGGGCCCAGAAACACAGAGCCAGGAGAAAACTGAAGGCACTGAGCTCGTGGCTGGGACATCAAAAAGAGGAGAAGCTGGGCCGCAATGTGGCCGATTCCCTGCTTGCTCAGGCTACATCAGAAAAGCACAAAGCTCACTCTGGGACATGAAGGTGAGTGCACACTGCAGGTGCTTGGTCTCTGGAAATCGAGGCGGACTGAGGAGGACACAGCAGGCTTCTCCTGGCCTCCTGCTTTGCAGAGGCCTCCTGGGCTCGACCACAGAGTCTGCCGCTAACAGCCTTCTGGACTTCTTTAGAACTGTCACGCCAGCTGTGTAAAGTTGGCATCTTTAATAAGGGACAACCAATAAAAACAACTTGCCACCAATGGACATTGATGTCCGCTGTCCTTCTACCATTTCTGAAGGTTGCTTTTATGACATCGATGGCAGTGAGATCTTCATTTGTAGCCGTTATTCATCCAGGATTTGATGAAATTACGTAAGTGAGAGCAAAAACGGATGGTCGGAGTAATCCAAGTTACAGTGATTACACTTACAACTAAAGTTAGTTTCTTTTCCCTGAATATTTGCAAAGAGGAAGAAAACAACTCTGACTGGAAAACACCCCAGATTATATACATTTTGAGTAAATTTAATATCAGCAAAAATATTGAGGGAGCTGTTCTAAAGGATGGAAAAATGAAAATCCATAATTGATGCTTTGCACTTAAGAGCCTGCAATATTCAGAATGTGTTTATATGCATTTTTCATGTATGCAGTATAGGAAATTGCAATTTTTATCATGACAGTGTTTTCAAGATCATTCTCAATCTTTACATTAAAAAGCTGACCAGGGAGCCTGCATTCTCTTTATTTCTTCTGCTGCCAGTTGGTTGTGAGCAGCAAGTTAATCTTTGCGGCTAAATGGAAGAGAAATTTCCAGGGTCCCTGATGGAAGAGGAGGCCTTGTCTCTGCCCTGGGGGACACTCGGTACGGACAGGGCCTGTGACGGCCTCGAGGGATGTGCTAACTCAGACTGAGGTCTGGCACTTCAGCTGTTACGGGACGTACTCAGTTCTGAGCAGAGACGTGTGAGGATGGCGGGTCCTAGGACTTTCCACCAGCAGAGATGGGTGGGACTCACTGGGCTGTGGACAGGCATCCATGGGGAAACAGGAGGTTGAAAAAAAACGAAACTGAAATCGGCAACCTGTCAGGCTCCCTTGTTAGATAGGAAGAGTTTCAATCTATCAGAGCTAAGCTCATTATACACCATGTGATCAAAGAACACACTGAATGGTTCAGTTCTTTTTTAAACGTATTACAGTAAAAGACACACTGCCACGAATCCCCTCAGAATCCTCCCCCGGCGGTGAGCACACTCATCCCATCGCCCCTGCCACGTCCCGCAGCAGCTCTGCAGTCCTCTTTCCTGAGTGTCATTAGTTGCTTTGTTGTGGCTGCCTTGATGTCCTGAACTGACTTAAAACACTGATCTTTTGTGGACATGCTGATTTCGGAGGAAAACCGGAAGTTGCTCGGAGCCAGGCCGGTGAAGAAGCCAGGGTAGGACAACTGCAGTTTGCCTCTCCCACTGGGAAGCGGCAGTCAGCATAGTTCTCATCACACCTCCTGAAGACACTCACGATGGGGACTTCTGGAACTGCTTCGGAAAGTGGCAAGCAGGGTGGCATGAGCGTGTTCGGAGTGGGGGCTTCTGCCATTGTCAACGGCAGTGTCTTTTCCCATAAATAAATGTTTACATAAACTTTCACTGTAGTTTTTGACGCGACCTTGTGAGTCACACCAAAAGCCAGCACACAGATAAACTTCTCTTGCCTTTCTGTGAGGAATCAAACCCGTAGGTTTGATTGAAAATTTAAAAATCTACTAATGATATACATTTTATGTGAGGTATAGTTTTTTAAAAAATACATCCTTTATTCAATCACTTGGATTTTGATAGAAAAATTCTAAATGGAATCTTATCCAAAGCTGCAATGAAAAACATGCAATCAGCTACCAAAGATATCACTGCAAATACTGTCGTGGCTTCATCAAGGACGGTAAGTTCCAGGGTTTCCCAACGTGTAGGAACAGTCTCAGAAAAGGTGTTGGGCTAACCAGCTCACGCTCTCACCAAACTCCGGTGATCTGGGGCACTTCCAGAAGGGCGTGGCAAAATGGCACCATCCCTGCTCCGCAGGGTCAGATGGGGAGCTCCTCCCGGCTGCAGACCCCACGGTACAGTCTTTTTTAATGTCTTGCTCTCCCTAAAGGGTCGGTAAGCCTGAGTATGTGCAAGGCAAGGGATGCATACCTGAGGTGTGTGGATGCCCCCCTCCACCGGGAGTTCAGATTTTAGTGTAAAATCTCACACGGAGTCTACCCAGTGAAGAATGTGCACATGGGTAGGTGTGGCACACACCCCACACACGGCCCCAGCAGAGCCCTGGGAGATGGAAAGGGCCATTGGCTGTGATGCTGACCCCACTGACCCTCAAACCCAGGATGTGAGGAGTGAGCCTGAATTCTGAGCCCCAGGACAGCTGAAGCGCTGGAGGTGGTTACCTTTCTGGCAGGTTACGATCTTCTTCTGCAGCTGCAGGCAGAGATCGCTGAGCTGGTCTGCCTGCCAGTGTCTCAGAAACACCTTGTGGACGCCAATCTGCAACGCAAGCAGCAGGGAAGAGATGGCGTCAAGGAGTTGCCAGGGGACGACGGGAAGGACCAGGCCAGGGAGGTCCCAGGGTGTGACTAGAAGCCGCAAACTGACAGGGTTAATTACAGTCTCTCTTCCTTCTTTTCAAACACTGTGCTATTTCGACAAAATTCTGCAGGTGTTGTTCTGACGCGTGTGCTGGTGGGCTGCATGCCCATGCTGTCAGTGGTGTGCTCAGTGCCCACTGTGCGCATGTGGTGGAGACCTGAACCCGGCTGCCCGAACCGAAAGCATCTGCGGAATGCACTCCGGGGTTCACATCAATGATGTTTCCTCTGATGCCACATCACTATAAACAGGGTCTTTATACAGAAGTGGTCACCAAACTTCGGGACCAAAGGAAAAAATATCTCCAAGTCACCCTGTGCACCCATCTTCCCAAGGCTCACCGCGGACATACACCTCCAGAATTTAAAAACTAGTAAGTTTTAGCAAGATACCGAGCCAGTTTCTTGGGTGAGTTCTAGAGGCACCCAGTGTGTGTAAACGTCATGCTACTGAAGATGGCTGTTAAGGGACATTCCCAAAGACCAGAACAGCAAGTTCCACCCACACACTTCTGCAATCACTTTCTTGCATGTCGTGCTTATTTTCCAAATACCCCCGCCCATACTAAAGGAAAGCGGATGGAAAGGAGAGCCTGCTGCACCCTAGGGGAACCTTGAGGAACCTGGAGTTGGTCATCTGCTGAGGAAGGACAACATCGCCTGTGGTACACTCGGAATCACACCCTGGCACTCAGAGAAACACTGCTAGGCAGGAAGGAGACTAACACTGTGCTCCCGAGTGTGAGTGGAGAACAGCGCGCAGTGTGTGCCACGGGTCCAGGACACTGCACCTTCGCGGGCACCATTCTCTCCTGGGAGGTGCACAGCCATGCCCTGTGCTCAGACACCTGGTCAGGGATGTTTTATGGACCTTCTCGTGTGGATCCTGAGCTTACCCCGGCACACGCTGTCACTGCCGGCCTTTCTCCTCCCCAAGTCATCATCTGTCGCCTCAGGGAAAAGGCTTCACCAGGGACTGAGACATGAACCTTGCAGGAAGCAGCCGGGCTAGAGTTAGGGCGAGCACAGCTGTCTGCGTGGCAGAGACTTCCATGGGTGGACAGGCTGGCCCTCGTCCTCTAGTTCGCACCGAGTTGGGTGAGACAGCAAACAGTGGCCCCGGCATGCGTGTCCCTGGGTGGTGTGGTTGCTCTCTCTTCACGGCACCCCATTCCCTCCCCCCGGTTATGCTCATCATCGAGTCTTTCCCCTTCCCAACTGCCGACTTATCTTGGCATTGGCAAGAAGAACTGGGAGCCACCTTTCCGTTCCGTCCTGACGCGGGATGGGACTAAGGCTGGGAAACTCAATCCCAAGGCAAAGTCCAGACCAACTCGGTTCCAAGATAAAGCCCTGGAAGGTGGTGGCCAGCGATACGGCACCATGGCTGGAATCGAATGATCACAGGGAAGGGGCATGCCTGACGCACGGCCAAGGTCTCCGATGGTGACATTTCTAGGAGACACACACAAAAAACTGGACGATGCTCATCTGGGACATTGTACTAGCTTTGGTGGACATGAAAGTATCTCTGTCCTCTGTGCAATGACAGGATTATGACTAAAGAACTGTGCCAGAGAGGAGGCACCATGAAGATGCAGTCAGGCAGGACTCAGAGGGAGAGACCCACTCTGCAAGGCGCTTCCTTCCGGGTGTCTTGGAGGGGCAGAGTGTGAGGCAGAGAGACGAGGCCAGAGCCAGAACAGAACAGATCCCGGACCGAGCTGTGTGGACAGCAGGAGAGAAGAGGCTTCCCATGGAAGTGGTGGCCACCACGAGGGCTATTTCAGGAAAAACGTGGACGTTTCCTGCCAAGCCACTGGGATTTGCTGGAGACTTAAGGAGGACCAAGTCTAATTTCATCAAAACCATTTCTGGAGTTTGCTTTGAATGATGAAGTACCTGCTGAGCTGTCGGTCTGTCCAGAAGACCGTGGGCTGGGCCCGGGGTAACAAGCCCCGCTGTCGCTTGTCAGCCTCTCCTGTGTCCTGAAAGACACTCAGCTCCCCAGGCTGCAGGCCCCTGCCCCACAGTGGGGTGCGAGCGCCTTTCATGTGTGCTCTCCAGGACCCCTGTGGATGACTCTACTCCTCTTACTGTGGGACTCTGCATTGGGCCACGCGATAGACTTCTGTCCTACAGAATGTGACAGCTGTCTTTGAAATGCACCAGTGGTAGGGACACCCGGAGGATGGATTCAGATTAGGGAAAGGAAAGTGGAGGAAAAGAGATGAAGCTTCTGGGCAAGATGGGTCAGGGAACAGAGGAGGGACCTTGGGGACAGAGTACAGTGGGGTGGGAACGAGCCCCCCAGGGCCCATGTTCATCTAGGATCCACCGCGGCATGGATGGGCAGTGCGTGGAGCGAAGGAGGAGAAGGAAGGGGGTGCACATGGTGTGTAGGTCAGAGAGTGGTGTTCAGCGGACCCTTTCCTGCCCCCTGGAACGCAGGGCTGGACTGGGGAGAGAGGCGGAGGCAGCGGGACAGGAAGCAGGGCCCAGGGGTGGGGAGGGAAAACCTGGATGTTCATTCTTGCTGCTGTACTCACAGAATCTGCCCCTCAGCTCTCAGATGAGGGCGGCTGGGCCTGTGAGACTGAATGCGTCTCCCTTCCTAGGCTTTGGCCACCCGTTCAACCACTCTCCATGCGCCGTTTTACTTTGCATTATTTTGAACTGATGTTTGCGGACTGGCACTATTTGGGGATGCTGTTTGGAAGTTTTAGCATCTGTTAGACTTTTTTATTATTTATTTTTATGTTTAGAAGTCGATGTATGAAAGTATGAGGCACGACTGTAAAATACAGTGAACAGAAATTTAACTAAAGACCCAGTCCCTTCAGTTCTCCTCAAAACCCTTCTGTCCCTGCAGACACACCCACCCCACCGTCCTCGCCGCTTCCTGCAGCAGCTCTGGAGTCCTCTTTCCTGAGTGTCTTTGGTTGTGCTGTCTTTGCTGCCCGCATGTTCTGAATTAATTCAAAACCTTTATGGGTCCTTACTGAACTTGGCAAAGAGCCAGAAGTCACAGGGAGCCAGAGCTGGTGAGTAAGGTGGGTGAGGACGCAGCGCCGTGTTTAAAGAGCCCACCTTCCCAGGGGCACGGCTCGTGGCAGCAGAATTCACCATGTTTTGATCAAACCTCATGAAGATACTCGTGAAGGTGGACTTCCAGAGCTGTGTCCAAAAGTGCCGAGAATAGCGGGATAAATGAGTTTGAAGTGAGGAGGTGTATTCTGCGAGGAATCAATGGCACTGTCTTTCACGGTAAACAGCTTTTAAAAACAATTTAAGCAATCACTGTATATTTTGATCACCATTGCTACTGGATAGTTTTGATACATTGTACACATTGTCTAATAAATCAGGGTGAGTGTATCTATTACCTCAAACATATATCACTTCTTTGTAGTGGAAACATTCAAAACCCTTCCTTCCAGCTCTGAAGACAAAGTGTAGCCACTGCGTGCAACAGAGCATGGCTGTGCTTCTCCTGTCTCTGGCTCATCTTTTAAAGACGTCTGGTAGGTAGCGGTTTCCTCTCTCTTGGAAGGACAAAATTAGTCCTCCGGCTTCACCGACTCTGGGCATTCACGAATACACCAGTCAGACTTCCTACAGCCAGAGACCCCGGCAGAATGCCGCGAGCTCCCACCGTCCCCACATAGCAGCGCTGGGACAGCTTCCTGCCTTTGTCCTGCAGCGCAGCTGCTCCTGTGTGACCAGTCTGTGGGGCGCCCCTGGGATCCTACAAGTGAAGACCTCCTGAGTCAGCCAGGGCTCAGAGCAGGTGGGACTCTGGTTTCGGGTGCCCCTCCTGGAAGGATGTCTCACAGAGCCAGCAGCCAGGAGAGGTGAGTGTGCTCTGTCACAGAGCACTGCTCCTGTATCATCATCTGAGCCTGCAGTGCTAATGTCAAGCTGACCTGAGAGGAAACCATCTGTGAGTCACAATCGGCCCTGTTTTCCGTAGAAAACCATTAGTTTGGTTTTTTTTAAGTGACAGATTTTAAAGGCTTAAACAGAATTGTCATTGATGACTTCCAAAGCTCCCATTATTCTAGTTTTCAGGGATGTTTTTCAAGAGGTGCAGGCTGTGGCAGCAGACAAAGCTGGTGCGGGGTTGGTAGGGTGTGGGCGGATGGCAGTGGGCTGTGCTGGTGGAGGCAGCCAGGGCCCTGTGAAGCAGGCTCTCTTTTTAAGGCCAGATTTGAGGGGAGCCATGTGCTGGCAGCACCTCTGAAATAGCACGGACAGAGAGAAATACAGCTCTCATCCTTTAACGGTATATATGATGGGGATTCTTCCCTGCCTTAACGAAATGGAGAGAAATGATTAAAGCAGAAATAATCTGACATACTGGAAGTGTAGAAAAAAAACTGCACCCTCATTTGTTGTATCTGTGACTTCCTAGTTGATGATGACACATGTGGTTTGTCTCCTTGGCGAGTTAATTTAGTTCCTCTCCTTACTGTCCCTGAATAATACAAGGAGTCATGGTCTCCCATGGAGGGGAGTCACAGAAGGAAGCTCGGGTTCTGTGACCCTTACTTAGCAAGATTCTGTCTCCAAATAAAAGAGGCTGGGGGTGCAGGTCACTGGGAAGGCCTGCGGTTCAATTCCCAAGATCAGGGGAAAAAAGACGCGTCAACTCAAAGGGTATGGAGGGTTTCATACAGAGGTGATACAGAAAAGCAAGCATGACCATACAGTTTCCTTCAAGGAGGGAACAAGAGATGTGCCTCTGAGGAGACAAGCAGGACCCCACCCCACCCAGGGGAGCAAAAGAACAGGATGCCACAACCCAGGCAGGTCCAGACCCAGGGAGTCACTGAGCTCACCCTGTGCTGTCGGGGGGTGTTAGGCTTAGGTCTAGATGTCCCCCTAAAGCCGCATGCA